ATGAAATCGAGATCTGAGCAGCAGGTCTTTGGCTTATCCTGGCTGCGACTGGCTATTATCGCAACTACATATGTTGACATATTTGGTAAGGGTATCTGAATTGTATAAGCTCGGATCTGATCACAATTGAAAGTGTGTAAGTTTACTCGAAAAGAAATAGTAAAGGAAACATAAGGAAGGTGTTGTACAAACTTTGGAACAAAGTTGATTATTGGTGACTGCTGACTTCACCAAGCGCTCGATTTCATCACCATTTTCGAAGGGGATATCACCGCCTTGTGCTCCTACCAAGTAGCCATTGTAATGCCGCATTGCCTTTACACAAACTGTCTCGTCAGTTGCAGCAGCAACTGGGCCGGAATACTCAAGCTCAGCTAAGATAGTAGCAAGTCTCTTGAAGTTGTTTGCGTGTAGGCCATCTTCAAGATGCATACCCTGGACTTTTCGGATTTGTCGCATGCTACGTGCCCCACGGCCTGCAAAGTTGTCGTTGAAAAGCCTAAGAGCTCGAGGACTGATGGCTGCCAAGGTGGTGAGGAAGTTGTCGAAGTAAAAATCAAATCGACGACCACGCATTGACTTTCCGTTTGATTCACGTTCAGCTCGCACACCAACTGCCATCATTAGACCACGGATGACCTCTTTATCCTTGAACAACCCAGCTTTTCCATACACACCAATTGCTTTCCAGAATTCTTCATCGCCTTTTTTAGATGTTTTCTCCAATGATGTCTGAAGGACTTGTAGCTCAGCATGTTTCATTAGAACTGCTTGGAATTGATCACCTGTCATGAATACCTTTGCAATAAACTTGATTTTATCTTCAGTCGCGTATGGTACATTGATGGCTGTGATCAGGCTTCGATCGTGTTTCAAACCCTCGCAGTCGTCACAGAGAGGATACAAAGTTTTGGCAGTGGTCATTACTGTTCGAGTACATCTAGGAGAGTGTATTGATTCCTGAGCCCCATGTCGCTTGATGATCCAGGTTGCCTGGGACTCTAGAGCGGCGTGGAATTGTTTGCGCTGCTCGTCCGATAGCGAGACTTCATGAGTAGTTTTGAAAAGCTGGAAACAAACTTTCCATCGCTTCACCCCGTGGTAAGGCGTAGGTGAGTGCTTGATACAGTTCTCAATACGAAGCTTGGCGGTGGGTCGTTTCCAGGTATCATCGTTTAGACCAGCACAGGGCTTCGTTACAGCATTCTTTTTAACTGTTGTCGTAGTCACCCAAGATGTGAGGCTGGCATTGGCACAAATCGTGTTCGTCTTCTTCTTACATTTGTCTGGGA